TTTTTTTTTTTTTTTACTATTCTCCCACCCTTACCAGTCTCCTTGCAGACCTGAATAATACCAATCATCTCATGCTTAGCATAACTGTAACTTGGACCAATTCCATTCACAATTACTATTTTTTTTAAAGCTTTTATTGTGAATTGAGTGATAGTTTACATGGAAAAATACCGGTTTTGCTCTCATTCTATCGTATTTCATTTCATTGCAATGATTATAATCCCCTCCGTGCATCATCATTCAACAGTGTTTGCTTCTATTCCCTGGGTTTTTTGTTGTTGTTTTTTTTTATAATGGATGCAAAACCACTCAGGATTATATAATTATTTAACATCCTGCCAGCCTGTCTCCTGGCTGCCAGCACACAGCCTTTCTCTTTCCATGAGTCTAGAGTCCTCCGTCTCTGGTGTCATTGCTTTTCTGGATAGGGTCCCCCTTTCACTCAAGCTCTTCTTCTGTGATGGTCCTGGGTCATCATTATTTTCAGTGATTATGGTTATTGTGTGTTGTCAAGTTGTTTTCACCACATAGTGACTAGATAGTATTTCCAAGCTTGTAAATCTCTATGGGCTCAGAAAGGCTCAGATTTGAACTACTGATCTTGCAGTTTGCAGCCCAACATGTAACCCATTATGCTCCTTAAGTGGTTATAGAAAATGATTATTCTTAAATTATCAAGCTGCCTTTAATATCAGAATAAGAGAGTGCCTTATAAAAACTATTGAATCTAGATAATCCTATCTAAAAGTTTGAGTCTCTTGCTGTACAGTCCACTTCAAACCTATTTTTTTTCAGCTTAAAGACTGATTTAAAATATTTTATTCATTCACCCTTTAAACCAAAAGGCATCAATGTAGAGTTTTTCTAACGAGAATTGTTAATGGATTAAGATTAAATCTATCATTTTTAACCAGGGAAAATTTCTTCTCATTTATTCTCAGGCGGACTCATGTAAAAGAACTATTAAACTGATGAGCTGCAGTGTTTTGACAAGCATTTGTAGCGCACAAAAAATCCCAACCCTTGAAATCTCACAGGAATACAGTTATGTATTCACTGGGAAAAAAGAATGTCCTATTTAAAATCTAGGACAGATCATGTTGATATGGAATAAAGGAAATAGGTTTGTGAACAGTATGTCCAAAATTAAAGACTAAGTTACTGGCATACATCTAATATCAACAGGAAATGTAACTACTCTTTGAAAGTACTCTAGCACTGTTTTGCAGTGTTAAGTACATTAAAAAAAAAAAAAAAAGACATTATTTGTATTGAGAATATCATTGCAAAAACAAGGATGGGAAGAAAGAGCAAAGATCTGGGAAAACTCCCCATGGTAATAACAGGGAGTAGAGAAAACCCAGTAAGTATTATTGAGGAGTATAGATTGTTTTATTTCTCCTTCCATGATGTAACTGCCCAGTCACCTACCTCTTAACATCCCCTGCCTTGATCGACTTTAAGAACACAGTAGAAAGTTTAGGGGCAATCCAAAAGGAACACTTTTCTCAAAGTTACCACATGATTTTAAAAACTCTACTTCATGTTCTCAGAGTAATGGTGTGGTGTTGTAGGATAAGGACTGGACTGCTAATGCAAGGTTGATGGTTCAAACCCATCAGTTGTTCCTCAGAAATCCTTGAATTCTGGACTCAACAGCATTTAACAAAAACTCCCTGTTCTGAATGCTCCTTCATGTTTTCTGTGTGTATGTTGCACATTTGGAATACCTGACTCTAGCTGGACGAGTATTCCTTCTTCGGTTTAATCATTTTGCTTAGGTTGAAGTAAAGAGATGATGGTGATGATGATGATGAAAATAGTACTAATAGTGAATTGTTCAATCCATATATTATTTGAGAAGAGCCTAATATAATACAAAAGCATCAAATACATCGGTGATAGTCCCTTCACAGTTTTAGTTCATAAATTGTACATGTCACACATTTCTTCTAAGCGGTTATTCTGCATGTCCCTAGTATTCATTGGAAAAGAAAATAATGATATGATCTCTTTCCTGGGTTTGCCTAATGTTGAAAGCCATATATAGACTTGTGTGGACCTTCATTGTTCCTATCCATAATTCTATGAAAAGACTGTAGATGGTTTATTGTTTCCCTGAGGAAGAACTATGATCCTCAAGTCATCTTCAACATATTAGAAATTGAGTCAGCAAACCTTTTTTTGTGTGTATTTCTCTGCTGCCAAGTAGTAACTGAGATAACCTTGCCTTTAAGGTGGGAAAGCAACTGATGGACTCTTTGAATGAATACATTTCGGTGAATGTGCACATTTCCTTAAATGCCTTGAATAAAACTGACCCAGAACACACATTCTTACTAAATTTGCCAAGCATCCCCCTTCTCTTCTTGTAGGTTTTCCACAATGCCTCCCAAACCCAGAGGGTAATAACAAACATTTAAAAGTAACTTTTGTGCGCTGGTTAATTTAAAGCATACAACAAAGTGCCTCATATCAATTTTCCATTAACGACTACTCATTTTGTTAGAAAGGAACCCTGATGATACTGTAGGATAATCAATGTACTGCTAACTGCAAGGTGGGCAGTTCAAACCCACCAGTTGCTCCATGAGAGAAAGATGAGTGTCTCTGCTCCCATAAAGATACATAGCCTATAAATATAGGGGGGTCACTATGACTTGAAGGTGCTCTGGTAGCGAATGGGGTGCGAATAGCGGTTGAGAATCAGGCTGCGAACCACACGGTCAGCAGCTTGAAACTACCAGCTGTTCCGTGGGGGAAAGATGAGGCTTTCCACTCCCGTAAAGATTTACAGCCTTGGAAACCCTGTACAGGGTCTCTATGAGTCAGAACCGACTCCACGGCACATAACAACAACAACAACAACTACGACTTGGAACCGACTTGATGGCGCTGAGTTGGTTTGGTGTATTTTAGTGGATGACAAACGTGCACACTCCCACATACGTATTCTCCAGCAAATAAATCAGGGGCCCAACCAACAGCAGTTGTTGATGCTAAACTTATCAAGCACATCACCTTTGAAAATGCATTCCTTAATATACAAAGATTTAAAAAAGTCATCATGCATAGTTTTCATGGAAACATTTCTCACTTTCAAGAACACACAAGCAGATAAAAATTGGATTGTTTTCTTACCTTTAGGAAAGCAGGCAAAAGCTATACTGTTGGTGGAATAGTGTACCAAGTAACAGACTTTTGTACACTCTTTCTTACGGGTGGTACACAGTCTATAGGAAAAGTAAATATATAGGTATATATAAAATAAGTGTGCACACAATACTCCTTATTCTTCCCTCTCTTTAGCAGAAGAGGCTGTGGTAGAGGCCATAGACAATATTCCCCCTCTCTGGTAGACCAGTTCACCACAATTCAGGTACCTCTGAACATGGGAGTACTGGTATCTCTCTAGTTAAGGCAGTAAACTTTACTTTGCATGGGTTGGAAGAACTGAGAGACCAGCCTAGAAAACATTCATCTATATGATCAGAACATTCTTTTCTTCCTGTTGACATCCCATTTTCTCAGCCTAGTCCAGTTATGCTGACCAGCTTGCTTGGTTAGTCCAGAGGATGAAACAAATAACAGAATGTTGAGCATGTTAGTATCCAAACAAATGAAGAAGCAAAATGACACACAAAAACATCATAACATGTTAACACAGCATAGGAGTGAGTTCCAGAGTTTTCTAGACATCATTTTGTATGTAGGGTTGAGTAGTTACTTTCCAGCAGTCTGAGTTTGTTGTTTGTTTGTTTTTAATTTTTGTCTTTTTTTTAAAATCAAATACCACCTCATATTGCCATTTCTACTAGTTTATGTAACAAAAGCTTTCTTTGAGGACAACACACATTTTTATTATTTCCTTTATATTAAAAGTAAAATCATAGCAAAAACACATTAGGCTATAAACATATTTTTTAAATGTCTTCTTTTATATTTGACGTAAGTAAAAATTGTCACTCCTCTCACACATGAATCTTTGCCATACAATGTGTCCATTGACTTAAACCAGTCTTTCATGTTATATCTATCCATCCTTTATTCCAGACAGATTCAGATTATTAGTCCTACGTCCCTACAGTGAAAGAAGGGGGTATGCCCAAACTGCTCACCTGCCTGCCAGCTCCAGTTACCATTGACCTGCCTGGAGAAACAATCTGTAGCTGGCCCAGCTAGCTCTGAGTGAATTCTGCATTACAAATGAAATATTGGATTAGAAAATGCATACTAGTTTAGGACAAAGGTAGTATAGGACCACTCAGCATTATGCACTCTACTCCTCAATGAAGAAGAGCATTTGACCAGAGGACAATTCACAGAGCATCTTCTGGTTCCAACCAGTCCAGGTATGGAAGGCAGCAATCCTTACACACCCAACCCAACAGAACCATGCTGCTACTTAGTTAATATCATCCATCCAACTGGCAAACAACTATAGTGGCTGGCATGAGCACAATCACATCCTCCTCCCGTTTGTCTGATATCTACTAGTTTACCATGGACATATACCTGCCAAGTCAGCAGTGAAAAGTGCAGGGAAATATGCCAAATTCAGGAAGCAGCTAAAAGAACCAGAGTTTGAGCAGTCCTTTTTCCTAGAAATGGAAATAGAGAAGGCAGTCTCTTGACCAGATCTAAAACTATCCAAATTAGGTGAGGCCCTTTTTATGTGCTAACAGCAGAACTTTTTGTTTATTTATATCAATGAGAAGTCAATGGTGGGCTACACCTCTGTACTCTCAAAGAAGGCCGATTCAAGTACAGAGACCAGCAAGCATTGGTCCAACCCTAAGTAATATGCCAGCAGGTCACAGATCAATTAAAATTGTGAGATCGACTTTTTGTTTATTTAATACAGAAGGGAGTTTGTCTTTCAAATAACTGACATTCTACAAGAGAAGCAACCTACGAGGAAAACTGAACTTGTTTGGGGAAAATCAGGCAGTGCCAGGGCAGTTCTATTTTTTGCCCAAATGAAGCCACCAAGCAAATTTGTTGTTAGGCAGACATGTAGCTGCAGTGCAGGTTTGGATGAGGAAAGCATGCACGCACCAGATGGTCAATTGCAAGGATGGACTAGCATTGTAAATATGAGGACACAGAGATTAGAGAATACAGTGAGACCAAGTGTTGGAGAATAAACATGAATGAGGTGTTAGGCCTGCTGCATTCTTTCATTTGTACTTCATACTAAGGCCCCTTGTTCCTTTCAGATACCTTCTTTTAGAAGACAGTGTATAGAATTCACCCATTGGAAAGGCAGGTACTTTTTTCAGTTACATGACCAGTGGGGATTTTTGTGTGTGTTTTTAACCAGAGATCTTTATTTAAATCCAGGAAATTATTCTTGGTTACCCAAGTTCAGAAATAGAAGATCATTTGAGCTACATTTAGTAATAATATTTCCTGTCATGAGATGAGTCTTTTCTGTTTCTTTAACAGTTTTCCACAACTTTTTCCATATACAAGGGCATTCCACAAAGCTGTGGAAAAATTCTATTATCATTTAATTCCATTTGCCCCTGGATATTTTGAAGCCCCCTACTATACATACACCTTTGCATTGATTTTCCAAATGTTATGGCTATCAGTAAGATTACTGTTTCTACATTAGTGATTCATTTGTATCATCTAAGATGATAGCTTACATGTAAATACTGTATTCAATTAAATGGACTTTATACCACCAGATCAGCATCAATGCTAAAATTTTTGGAGTTACTTCCAACATGGGCTTAGATGGACTATTCTAGAATGAAATCCTTTCCTATTAAGATGCATTCATTCTGGATTTATGCTGTCCAACAGAGTAGGCACAAACCACAGGTGACTATTTCAATTGGAATTATTTTTTTTTTTAATTCAGGTGAATAGCATTATTTAAATGCGCAATAGCCACATGTGGCTAGTGCTTGCTACACTGGACAGCAGACATATGGGACATTGAAATCATTACAGAAAGTTAGATTGGGCAGCAATTATGAAGAAAAAGTCTTTCAACTTCTCTTTGGGACCTTTGAGAACTGGGTCATCAGAAACCCCAATGTTTGGAGGTACATGAGTCTCCTCCTGTGGTTCAGCAAGTATCTAGACAAAGTCTTTAAGATGTTTTAGGGAGTGTCTACACAATACCAAAAGAGTGAAATTATCTATCTATCTATAGCTATATATAAATTATATTTATATATAATATATACCCCACTCCTCACTTAAGAACGTGGGTAGGTTCCCAAAACCAGCTCATTATGTATTATGTGGGAATTGGAGTTATGAGAAAGTAGGGGATAATTGCATGATTACATCAGATCACAAAATAGAAGCTGACGGTACCATAACTGCCCAAATGCATCATTGCCAAGCCACTGAGTGTAATGGCCCAGTCAAGTTGACAAAAAAACATCATCACAACCAGTCTTGCTCTCATCTTGCACTTGGGTAGTCGTTAGTCTGATGCACACCGTTAGTATGTAAAAGAATTGGATACTTGATTTTTCTATTGTCATAAATGAAAATTGTGAGCTAACAAGAGAGTCTGTAAGTGAGGACCGGACGTATATATTTTTGTTTTAAACTGCTTGTAAGACGAAGCCTCTATTTGATTGCATTTCTCTGTACACTCTCTGACTTGGCTTTATGTAGACACCAGAACAATGGTGAAACCAAATCAATAATACTTGCTCAAGGGAAAGGCACTGGTTAATTCCAATTGGAATCATTGCTCCGATTGGCAAAGCTGATAAAATATTTAAATTAGTAAGATAAGGCCTCTACCTGGGCAGCCGTCTTTGATCTCAGGTGATTCATCTCTTTGTAGACAACATAGCAAGCAATGATACATGTCACAGTACATTTAACTGAGGAATCTTTTATCAACCATCATTATATTTTTTACATACAAGCTGTAGTGCCAAATACAGGAGTCAAAAATAAAAGAACGGTCTGCATTGATATTTTGACAGTTACTTATGTCCTGAGTTTTATTTGAACCTCTGCTGCTCTCTAAAATTGTGATTTTAGTTATGTCACTTGATTAGGCTATGGCTCAGTCTCTTCAGGAAAGTTAGAATAATAAAACCCAGTCTGCAGAGATCTTATGAAGACTGTAGGAAAGCTTCCACACAGAAGATTCTACACAAGAGCTGTTTGTAAAGGTAGTTGTAACGACCAAGGTCTTAATGTCAAACAGCTTCAACAAGGAAGGGGCCTAATCATTAATAGTTAATAGTTAATGACTCTGGTTATTAAGTTGGATTTGACTTGATGGCATATACTAACAGCATGTATATATATATGAACATGTATATGTATGGAGTCCTGGGTGTGGTGTTATACGATAATGTACTGGACCGCAAAGTCAATTTGAACCTCAAGGTAGGCAGGTGAAACACACCAACCACTCCTTGGAAACCCTATATAGGATCGCTATGAGTCAGAACCAACTTGAGGGTACTGGTGGGTTTGAACTGCCATATCAGGACTACTCTTGCATATGTACTGTCCAATGTTCAGAATTATTAAATAGTTTTGACTCATAGCCACCCAGTATATGGTTTCTGAGAAGCAACTTGTGGGTTTAAACAGCCGACTTCATGGTTTGCAGTCCACACCAGGAGTCTATATAAATGCACATATATATGTTCATGAGAATATTTTTTTGGGAATCAGTTCCATATGTTGCATTGTGTTCAGTATCATTTAAATTGTGCCATCATATCTACTCAACCTATCATGCTGAAATGCATTTCAAACAAAGCTTCTTGGCTTTTCTTGTATTGGAAGCAAATGGATATCTACATCTAATAGATTGTTTACTCGTTACACCATACTTAAGACATAGACATTATTACTTCCATTGCATCCAAAGAAATGCTCAGCTTCAGAAAGTTTCTTTGATTCTCCCAAAGTCATGTAGCTGGCAAGTGAAGTGGCTTGGATCTGAAAGCCTCTGCCGATATCACATTCAATATTGCAACAATTCTCTATTAACTTCCCTTCTTCTCAGTTGACCCATTGCTTGGGAGACCCCAAAACAGAATGTTTGATTCTACCTCCTAATTCTATTTTCTGAATGATACATCATTTCTGTTTCTACCTTTTCTTACCATAGTCCTTCTTCCACTATACTGGCCTAGAATATATTCTGTGGGAAAGGTGAAGTGAACCCCAGTATTTTAATTAACCTTTGTTATCTGTCTTCCTATTTTCAAAGTTTTTCACAGTGTTCGATCAACCAACTATTTCTAAATGGAGATGGACCACAAACCACAATCATTTATCCTTGTACACTATTTGTCAAGTCCAAGTCTAGGTGACTTCTTGATTTAAAAATAAATAAATATATATATATATATATATTATTTGCAGGGTGAAAAAAGGTTATTTCAGTGATTTCAAAACAGGGGCTCTTTTCCTCTTGTTATTAAGTCTGTGGTTAAACAAATTCAGTTCTTAATTGAAAAATAATAGGTCTTGAATGCCCTAACGGTCAATCTCAAAACTCTAGCTTAAAAACATCCAATAGCATGAGCATCTGAATCTGTTTCGTGTTTTATCAACTGGTCAAAATATTCCTGGGAAACAGATCTAAGAAGTTGTATTTTTAATCCGAGATTCATTCTTATTACTACATTTTGAATGGTGTTAGCTATTGGGAATTTTATGCATTTATGATCTTAACTGGTCTTGTTGTCTTACAAATCGATGTTTGTAGAGTCATCATGTTTGCAGTCATTTACAAGGGTCACTAAAGACTAGGCCTAACGTGTTTCAAATATTTCATGAGGAATCTGAAATGTGACATTTTGTCCCTTATTCCCTCTAGTCTTTCTTGGTGAAATTATCCTGCAGTACTGTGGTGGATGTAGCTCACACATGGTGATGCCATTAGCCTGGTTGTATCTGGGCCAGTGTATTTAGATTAAAATTTGCCAGCCATCTTCAGTATTCTGTGGGTGTGTGTATCCTCTAGTATCTTACTTAGTAGATAATGATAATTTTCTCCAATTCACTTGACAGTACAAAGAAGGTATGCTTCCAAAGTTCTTAAATATCCCTGTCTCTTTCCTAGTGTTACAGTTCAACTAGCTGTGAACGTTCTTGTTTCCATAAAAGGAAGGGAGCAAGAAAGATGGCTTACAACCTGGCATGATATTTATGTCAATTAGGTAGTTTATTACCAATGGGAAGGGGAGGTTTTACACATCTGAAGTAGAGCCACTTAAGTCTTATTTCCAACACAGAGGAAAACGAAAATGATGCCATGAATAATTCAAAGTTCAAAGAGAAGACTTAGCATTAACGAAGGCAACTCAACTATGAGACAAGAATGGTCACAATAGTTCTCCAAAGAAAGGCAAACATACACCACATTTTCTAGAGCTTCCTGAGGCAGACTGGATAAAATAACAGGAAAGGAAAGTTACTTACTGTTTGGATCTACATTTTCACACAGTTCTGTCTTGGCTTCACCATTAGGTCTGTCACTGGGTTTGTGTGACAGTCGCGATGACATGGTGGCTGCTGTGACTACCGCCTTGAAGCTTCGCTTCCGCTTCTGGACATTGAGTTCGGGGTGGAAAATGATGATGTACACTTTCGGCATATATAGCATCCCCAGAGCCACGGACGCACTTAGGTTCATGGAGATTGTAAGCGTGGTAGTTTGTATGTAGAGCTAGGAGACACAACACACAAGACACTATTACAAATCAAATGACTGTAGAGGGAGTCTGAACATGTCAAGTGATGTCAAGAATGATTACATGGTCAAGGAGGGGAAGATATAGGAGGAAAAATGTAGCGCTCTACAGGGACTTCTGATAAAAAAGGAAGACAAAATGGCTGCAGGTTCTGGAAATGTGCATATATCAACTGATAAAATGCCACTAGGTAAACCCATGTGCATGTCTGCCCTACCGTTAGATCCTACATAGAATTTCAGAGTCTACTTCAGTGAAGTTCCTTTAATCAAACTAGGGCTGAATATGAACCATGAAGATTATAGAAACAAGTAACATGGTTAATTTTTTTTTATTCCCTCACATACACAGAGGATTCATATGCTATAATCTCTTGCAACACAGAGATTCTGGGACCATACTTGAAGACTTTATGTCAATATTTACTTAATTGTTTTATTACAAGAGTGTACATACTCTTATAATAACCTAAAAATAAATTAAAAATTTCTCTCAAAATTAACTCCTTCTTGCTTAGTGCTTATAAAACCTCACTGATAAGGGATCAAGATCTGAGAACATTGGTTTGTCCCTACTTTCTGTACTGACAAAGTGCTCAGAGATTGGAAAACCTTATTCTGAACCTGTCTTCTTTGGGGATTTGGATGATGACCCATCGCTTTCCTGGTCTCTTTCAGTTTTGTGCAACAATGTGATCTCCTGCAGGAAAGTAGTAAGGGCGGGCACGTACTTGGCCTACAGTGGGTTCAATCATTTGCCACGCTGGTTTATTTGACAAGGCAATGGTTGTAGGGTGTAGGGAGTTAAGAGATCAAGAAAGAGAAAGTTACAGACAAGGTGTCTGGCTCCAGTTTTATTTGGAACGCGGACTCTAATGATCCAGAGCCCTCCTTTGCCCAGACATGTTTATGTATTGAATGACTTGTAAAGGCCAGATTACACTGAGCAACTAGCTCTCAAGACCTTTCACATCAGTGGAAAGCTTGATTCCTTGATATTCCACAACCCCACAAGCAACCAAAAATAACATCAATCAGTCCTGCACCGTCCCCATGATAAGTAGCAGGTCAGACCTTTGTGATTCTTAGGATTTACAATGACTGGCCCTTTCTTCCTAGATCATCTTAGTCTGAAAAGTTCACTGAAGTCTTTTCAGCTTTGTAGCAGCGTGCAAATCCTCACCGTCAGGCAGGTGATGGCTGCACATGCGGTACACTGGATTGGAAGGGTGACTTACATGGAAGGTGAATCCTCACTGCCCACTCGCACTGATTTATTTTTTGTCTTTCTAATGAACTCCTATTGGTCAGCAGTTCGAAACTACCAGCTATTCCGCGGGAGAAAGATGAGGCGTTCTGCTCCCGTAAAGATTAACAGCCTCAGAAACCCTGTATAGGGTCGCTATGAGTTGGAATCGACTCCGCGGCACACAGCCACCACAACCAATGGACTCCTAGTGTGGTGCTGTGGGTTAATGCACCAGACAGCAAAGGGTCTGAACTGCAATGTCAGTGATTCAAGCTCACCAGCTGCTCCTCAGAAACTCTATATAGGGCCACTATGGGTTGAAACCGACTCGATGGCACTTCACAATAATGGACCCCTGGTGTGGCACTGTAAGATCAGTACTGGACCTTGAACCACAAGATTGGCAGTTCAAACGCACCAGCTGCTCCTTAGAAACCCTATACAGGGTCACTAAGAGTTGGAATGAGTTCAACAGCTTTTACCAACAACAGTAACAACAATGTCCTCTTTCATGTGATGCATAGATTATCTTGCTTAGTCTTGAGTACTTCATACCATATTTTTTTAAATCCTCCTTATAATTTCTTTAGAAACATGAAGAGTTGGTGATCTATATAAGTCCCTGCTTTTAAACTCAGTAGTTCTGTACACTTTACTGAGATCAGGCTAGCTTTCCATTAAGACTAATTCCATTCTGGCTGGCTGTCCTCAATGTGAGTTTCCCTCACATTGGCCAACCCTGATGGTTGAGACATGCAAGAAAAATCCAGATTCTCTTGGAATTTCCTTGGGTTTTGATCATTGATTCTTAAGTTTACCATCAACCTAAATGAATTCTTAGAATCCAGTTTGGGGTCTTGAGCTGAATGTCTTTTCTAGCACATACCATAAGTAATTCCTATTTTTTTTTTTTTTTTAACTCGAGGATTTAGAGAATTCGAGTCAAGTCAGAGAGGGGGTTTTGCGTAGTAGTCAAGAAAAGTAGTTTCTGAAAGTTTGCTACATGGAATCCTTGGTAATTACTATTTCCTCTGTCTTTGGGGTTCTCATCAACAAAATCAAGATTGTAATAACTCCTGTCTCATATGGTGGTTGTGAAGGTTTAGCTAAAACATACATGAAAAATGTTAGCAAAGTAGCTGGGAAATATGAAACAAGTGCTTATGAAATGTTAGCTTCTACATGGGGCCCTGGTGTGGTACTGTAGGATCACCACTGGACTGAAACCACAAGGGTGGCAGTTCAAACCCATCAGTTGCTCTTAAAAACTCTATAAAGGATGGCTGGCTACTAGCCAGAACCCACACGGCAGCACTTAACAAAAATAATGATATTTATATGGAGTCAACGGTGACAGAGTGGTTTGGGCTGCTAACGGCAAAGTGAGCAGTTCAAATCCACTATCACTTCTAATGGAGAAAGATAAGACTTTCTGTTTCCATGAAGACTTAAACAGCCTCAGAAATCCTAGCCAGGGTCATTATGAGTAGGAACTGAGTCAACATCATATAGCCACCACCAACCATCAGTGCAGATATTCTTAAAGGGTTTTGTTGTTAGGGGTAGATCTCACATTAGGTTTCCTCTGTCAACACTATCATATAACGAAACTTTTTACATCAAGATAACAAAACAGGTCTATTTATGATTAAATAATCACCGGTTGCCATCAAGTGACTCCGACTCATGGGGAATGAATGTGAGGCAGAGGAGAGCTGTGTTCCATGCAGTTTTGTCATTGACTGATTTGGGGGAACTAGATCATCAGACCTGTCTCTTAAGGTGTCTCTGGGTGGACTTGACCCTTCAATTTTTCAGTTAGTGGCCAAGCACATTAACCATGTGCATCACCCAGGGATTCCCATGTCGGGCAAGTATACTAAGAGCACACAGATTCTGGATCATTTCGTTGCTAGGCAGGGCTCTCAGCAAAAGCTGCCCCAACCCAAGAATACTGAGTCCTACACCGAGGTATAAAGAAAAATGGTGTCTCATGATACACATCCACATTTCACCCAACTATGAGATGCCTTGTTGCTTCACAGCTCAGTGTAGAGCTTAGTGTTTGCTGAGTTCTCCTTGTCTGACTTAGATGACTCAAAAGCTAAGAGGTTTGAAAGCTTGTTAGATAGTGTTCAGCTCACAAGCAGCTTGGAGTCAGAAATTTGTCATTCCTTTTTTTTAAGCATGGAATCAGTTTAATTGACATTACTCTGAGAAGCCGCAAGGCAAGGCAATTGTTGCAACAGGGACAGGTTTTAGCCTTCGAAAAGCATACCATCATTTCAATACCACTCAGAGGAAGAGAGAGAAAAAGACAGGATTTAAAGAACAATTGACTGGACACAGATGCATATAAGACTGAAACTATTAGTAAAAACCCACTTACAGATGTCTGAGTTCATCTAAATAGTCTCATCATTCCTACAATGTCTTTAATACTAAATGCATGCTATAAAAGTGACTAACAGAAATGATTACCTTTATTTCTATGAAATAGAATTAAGAAGAGAGCACTGGGGATTTTTGGAGGGAAGCTGTCAAACCACTGATATAATATAGGAGGTTAACTATTTTCCAGAATGGCTGTGTGTGAGATATTCCTTACTTTCATCCTAACTTGCATTATTACTGTTAAGTGCCACTGAGTCATTTCTGACTCATAGTAATAGACCCTGGATAGGGTTTCTAAGGAGCAGCTGGTGGGTTTGAACCACTGACCTTTCAGTAAGCATTCCAGTGCTTATTCTCCACCAGGACTTATATCAGTTCACCCTTTTTTATTGATACTTGGGCCTGTACGGACCCACGCATGGGATACACAATAGTGATCATGGCAGGCATATCCTCTGACAAGAGGGAACTATATTCTAGTGGGGAGGAAGGTCATACAGAAAATAAATGTACAAATTTCACAAAGGATGCTCACTGAATCCTTCTTTTTAAGCATCGTATATTGGTTCTTACTAGTCTCTTGGAACCAACTTGATGGTATCTAACAACAACAACATATTTCATTAGGTAACAGAAAGACATATGGACAAACAGATAGGTATACATATAGCGATGCATGTGTGTCATGCTGTGGTTAATGCTCTGGACTGTAAAGTCACAAGATCAGAGGTTCAAGCTCACCAGCCACTTCTTGGAAACTGTATACAGGGTCGCTATGGGTTGGAACCAACTCGATGGCATTTACCAACAACAACAACACACAATATACATATACCAAATAATGTAATCAGTGCTCTGGAAGACATAAAATCAGATCACAGAATTGTAAATAATGAGAGCAACTAGATGATTAGTGGACCAGACCCAGTGTTTCTATGTTTTGTGTTTCTCATTTAGCAATTTTTAAAAATGCAATTGTATGTAAGGTACATCTACACACAATTGCGTTATTTATTTTGATAGACTAGAATTCTGGTGTGGTACTGTAGTATAAGCAATGGACTGCTAAATAGGTGGTTCAAGCCCACCAGCCACTCCTCCTCAGAAACCCTATACAAAGTCGATTAGAATCAGAATTGACTTGTGGTACTTAACAACAACAAGAAGACAAGCTGTAGGTGAATGCAAATTGATTTATGGCTTATAAGCACAGTGATTATGTCAGACTGGAAATCGCCACCAGCTGAGTAGTTTGCATTTGACCCGGAGCCCTAATAATGTGCTTATTCCCACATAGCACAGTAAAAGTTGATTGAGCGCATTCTTGGAAAGG